ACATGAAGTGCAGGAAGGAGATGAGAGAGCTTCCCATAAACAACGTATAGAGCTGTATGAATCGACCAGTTTGGTGCTGGATGAAAAATAGATAAATAACATACAATAGATATTTTAAAAATTGAGAAACATTTGCAGAAACCTGACAGGAGAGTCCATGAGAGCATAAAACTGAAAATGCGTGTATCAACCACCAGAGTATGCAGACTATTCTACGCTTAGAAAGAGAATAAAGAATTCATAAAGGAAACGTTTCTTAAAGGACCTAACATTAAGAAGGAAAAAGAAAACCAGGCTAGATAAATATTTTAGGAAGTATGCAGTCAGACTCTTTAAAACAGAATCTAAAAAGGAAGGTAACGTAAACCAACAAAAAGTGACCCGTGACCACATTTGGTAAAATAAGTTCAGCATGAGAATACCTGTTTATAAAAGGAAAACATAAATAAAAATGAAAGGGGGAAAACCAAGGTGTGTTTGCCAGCTTTCTGCCACTGTGATGAACCGCCTGAGGAACATCAGCTGAATGGAGAAAAGGATCACCTTTGCTCCTGGTTTCGGGGATATCTGTCTTGGCTAGGCTGAAAATCATGGTGTGAACATGAGTCAGAGCTAAGCTAGGCTGTCAAGAGAGAAGAATGGGAGGGGCTTGGGGCCTGATAGCCTCTCTAAGGACACATCCCCAAGACCTGACTTCTTCCTACTAGGCCCTATCTCCTAAAGGCTCCACCCCCTCCCAGTAAGGCCATCCTCTGGAGACCAAGCTTTCAGTGCACAGACCTTAGTGAGAATTTTCTTACAGAATTCTTATGCTGAAGAAATGCAGAGTGAAGGAATAGCATGCCATACTTGCAAGTAAAATTAGTAAATTAAATATAACAGTATTATGGAAATTAATTGCCAAGTGTATGGTAAGAAGCATTGAAATATTGTCTTCTTTGACCTACTAGTTCTACATATAAGAACTAACCAAGCAAGATAATTTTAATAGATGAAAAGTCCTGACTGAGCTTTAAAATGCTCACAGTGATACATTTATATTTTTCAAAACAAAAACTAATTAAAAAGGGGCTTCATAGCTGTGAATTGATCTGTGGTTCCGTAGACCTGGCTGGGCCCCCTTCACAGGAGTGAACTGATCTGTGGTTCTGTAGACCTGGTTAGGGAGCTCGCAGGCCCCAATGGTGAAGTTGATATTATTGTTTTGCTAGGTGGTCATGATATAAAGCTGCTTTCTTTTTAGTATTTGTATGTTTTATATATGTGAATGTTTTACCTACATGCATATATGTGTATTGTATGCATGCCTGGGGCCCACCAAAACCAGAAGATGTAGCCAAATCTCTGGAAACTGGAGTTACAGATGGTTATAAGCCACCATATGGGTGCTAGGAACCAAACCCATGTTCTCTCTAAGAACAGTCAGTGGTCTTAATTGCTGAGCCAAATTTCAAGTTCCCTCAAACTGCCATTAATTTTATTTTAACAATTCCTTTTTATTTTTCTCTTATATATTACATCCTGACTGCAGTTTCTCTCCTTCCTGTCTTCCCAGTCCCTCCCCTCTTCCTCAGCTCTTCTTCAGAAAAGGGCAGGCCTCCTAGGGATCTCAACCAAGCATGGTGTATCAAATTTCAGTAAGACTAGGCGCATCCCTTTATATTAAGGCTTAATGAGACAATCCAGTAGGAGGGAAAGGGTCCCAAAAGCAGGCAAAAGGGTCACAACAGCCTTCTGTTAGGATTCCCATGAGATCACAACCATCACATGTGTGCAGAAGGTCTAGGTTAGACCTATACCGGCTCCCTGATTGTCGCTCAGTCTCAGTCCAGGTTAGCTGATTCTATGTGCTGTCACACTACCTTCCAAATGCTCATGTTTATGTCCTTAAAGTAGGACTGTCCTTGGTCTTCATCACAGAAACAATCTCTTACCTGTCTCAAGAGCGTAGTATAGGCAATAGAAGAGTAGTTGGCCCTAAATGGGACATTATGTCACCCCTAAGTTAGAGCCCAAGTCTTGGATTCATGAGCCTCTCATGCGGTTGCCAGCATGAGACCTACGCAGGGTTGGTGGATGTCAACATTTGTCACGTGGGGGTGTGGTTCATGAGGCCCCTCCCTCCTGAGTAACTCCTGGTCACTGGGGGAGAAAGGGTCATTTTCTTTAGGGCTGTGACCTTCTTGGGAGTTTCAGAGGAAGAGGGAGGGGGATGAGAAAGGGAACTGCGGGGTGAAAAAGACTGAAGTTCATTATTTTATGCATAGAACTGTCAAAAAGTTTATAAGGAAAGAAAACAAGATAAAAGACCAGTATTTATTTAGTTAATATTCTACATATAGATACACATTTTATATAAGCTGCCACCTTTAAGTGTTGTGGTAGGTCTTAACAGATGTGATCGCGTGACAGAAAAAGTTCAGGATGCCTTTATATGGTGAAGACTAAGTTCTCTAAAGGAACACACTCAGAACAACAACAGAGAAAGTAGACGTGGATGAGGCGCTCAGAGCGTGAGGCTGCCGACATGACGGATTCTCTACCTTAACTTGCAAGCACACAATGGGAAATAGCTGACCATAATACGTCCACAGAAAAGAACATAAGAGAATATTCCTTATTCACAATGGCTTGAAATATTTGCATGGGAAAAAAGACAGAGGGATAATGCACAAATACCAGGAGGGCTCAACAGAACTAGACCTGATGATGCTCAGTCAATAACTGCAGCTAGAATTCATTCCTGAGAATGAAGCCAAGTGCAGCTCACCTAGTCAGGCTGCAGAGGTGAGCCAGCGAGTCAGGGAGAGACAAAGAAAGGCTCGAAACCCGCTTAAGCAGTCTGGCCAATGCAGGAGATAGAGAACACAGTCTGGGGCAGATATGGTAAATCTTCTATAACGAGTAGGGCTGTAATTCTTTTCATGGTAGGTTGCTAGGAAAATCATAAATTGGTCATGGTTAAAATGTCGGAAGGCTCAAAGTTGTGAGGAAAAATAATGAATTGTTGAGGTTTGGGCTTACTCTGGAAGTCATGCGTTTTTCTGGGAGAATTGGGAGCTGAGAATGAAGTAATTTCTGCTGTCTGAATATTTCAGTTAGGGACTGGGAAAAGATAAGTGGGGAAATCCAAATCTGAACCCTCATGTTATCAGAAGGAAGAATCTGACTGGATGAGCTCCTGAGAAAAGGGCTGGGACAAACTCCTTAGCAACTCAGAGACAGTACCCTGTGTGTGCACGCCTACCTGTAAGGGAGAACGCCTGCAGATTATATTAAGTCTATAGCATTTTTAAAGGTGTGAGTTCACTAGCCAAGTAGCCAAGTTGGCTAAAAAGTCATAATCGCTCTGCCACAGCTGCCCTAGTGCTGGAATTACACGTGTGGACCATCTGAACTGCTACACTCTAGTCTCTTTCTTTCCTTTGATTTTCTTGTCTCAGTTTTCCTAGCTCTTATCTCTTCCCAGGCTCCTTCTTGCTATGGTAAAAAGGAACCATGGGGATGAAGAAATGGTTCAGTGGCTCAAACGTTGGCTGCTCTTCCAGAGGACCTGGGGTCCATTCTCAGAGCTCACAAATTGTTTCACGACTCTTTATGACTCCAGTTCCAGGGGATCAAATGCTTTCTTCTGGCTTCCATGGGCCCTGGGCATATGTGTAGTACACAGAGTTATATGCAAGCAAATCATTGTTACACATAAAATACTTTTAAACATGTTAAAAAAGAAATCATACATATATACATATATATAACTTAATATAGCTAATTTAGGGTTTTTTTAATGAACATTGTTGACAAAAGAAAAGGGAGGGGAGAGACAAAGGCATGGATGAAGGAAGAAGAGAGAGAGCAAGGGACAGAAGGACAGAGGAAAGAAGGAAAGAATGAAAGACACTCAATTCCTCTTTAGTACATACCATCCGCCATGTCTGGACTTGGTGGACAAAGACAATTATTGTGTTGTGTAAACACATCCTGCAGTAGAGTCACCAGCCATCCCTCCAAGGCACTTCCCAAGAGGATGGGGATCAGCCCATCTGCTGACCGTGGGGGCCTGTGTACCCAGTAGAGCCTCCGTGAGTATTTGCTGAGTGAGTGGGTAGACGTGAGTCCCACCATCTCTACAAACAACACTCATCTCCCATCTAATCGCTGGTTCCTTCAGAGCCCCAGTGACGGGCCAGCAAAATGCCACATTACATCTTTACCGTCACCACCACCGAGCCCCGATCCTGCTCACCGCATCAGCTTTGTCCCTATCACCAGACACGCTTTTCTATTTATGAAGACATGCTTTTTGCTGATACTTACAAGTGTGTGTGTGTGTGTGTGTGTGTGTGTAATTTTATTTTTCAAAGCCTATTTTACAAAGCACACATAAAACCCTCAATAAACACAGATAGAATAAAGTAGTAAAATCTTTCAGTGACCTTTGACTTCATGATATTTCTAAATATGCCATCCATCGGCTGTTCTGAATTACTATTTCAAAGTGCGACAGGCAGTGGAGTCTGAATGTAGTGTCAGTTGAGTTGAGTTCTTGCACGTGTCACTTCAAGGCTAGAAGAGTGACCTTCAACACTCATGTTCAATTTCCATGTTTATAACATGGGGACTTGAGCAAAAGCAGCAACCAAACCTGAGAGTGACTTCAGAGCTATCACAAAGGAGACGGCCGTCAAATGGGGCGCTGTACAAGACTAAGTTTCGCAAACTGGAAAGCAGGTATCAGCCATTCCATCTACCAATTTGAAAGTGGGACCGTCCCTGCAAGGCTGTAGAAAAAAGATCTGCTGTATATCAAGAGTGGTGAGGGTTAGGGTTGCTGTGTCTGCAAAAAGCAGAGTGCAGAAGAAAACACTCTCTAATGACACGGCCAGGTCAAAACCCAAAGGCCACACTCAACACTGGCATGGAGGGAGATTACCGTGGAACACCTGTCAACCACAGTGTTTGGCAGTTTTGCAAAGCATCTTTGAAACTAGGAGAGAGCTTACCAGACACGAGCTGTTGTCCAGGCAACCCCACGGGAACCATGCCCAAGTTATTCATAGCTGTGGCCCAGGCTGTGGGATCGGTGACAGACATGTTGAGCTGGGTGGTATCTAGGGCTATGTTCCCCAAACCATCAGCTGCTGCAGGAGAAACAAACTCAGCTTAGTGACAGGCAAGCCTCCTTCCCTTTAAAGGAAATCACGTTCCTAAAGACACGAGGCTTCATTTAGCAAATTACTAAGAGATTTTTTTTTTTTTTTAAAAAAAAGCACTGTAATCTATACTACACCAATAATTTCTCCAGATGTAAAAGCATCTGGGTAGAAGCATAGAGACGGAAGCGTGAAGAAGTGCTTCCGAGGAACTTTCCAGAAAGAAACTTAATGACATGGAATCTGTATTGTTTGTAGCAAGCCATTAAACAGACACCTTTGGAAAAAAGGGGAGAGCCACTTTCCTCCTCCCTGTGAGGCAATGCTTATTAAAAGAGAGGGCCTAGAACAAAATGCTGGCAAGTTTACTGCCTAACAGAACAAGATGGATAATGTGTCTGTTTCTGAGGATTATGTTGGGCCCAGCATCCCTTCTAAACAAGAAAACCGTTGTCAAGGAATAGAACATGAATAGTCCTGGCTAAACTGGTAAATCATTGAAATGTAGGCCCTCTGAGGCAGCAGTTCTCAACTATAGGTCTTGATCCCTTTGGGGGCTAAATGACCCTCACATAGGGGTTGCCTAGGACCATTAGAGACCACAAATATTTACATTACAAGTCCTAACAGTAGCACAATTCTATTTATAAAGCAGCAACAAAAATAATTTTATGGGTGGGGACGCGAACACAACGCAAGGAACTGTATTAAAGGCCACAGCATTAGGAAGGATCAGATCCGTGCTTGAAAGAAATGTATGTATCTATTTAAAATGACTTTTAAAAGCATATTCATTTTTTATTATTTCTTTTGTTTTTTAAGATTATATAATTTTTATTTCCCCCCTTCCCTTTCCTACCTCTAGCCCCTCCCTCCCACAAACCCCTCCTTGCTCTTTTTCAAATTCAGGGCCTCTGTTTTAGAATATGCCTTATAAATACTGGCTAATAAAATCAGTAAATAAAACCAGAAAACAGATAGCAGGAATTAAACAGAAAAAAAAAGAAAACCAAAAAACTGTGTTAAATTTGATTTTATACTTTTTTTTCTTGAATTTCATAGTCCCCTCCTTTCTCCAGGCTCTGGCCCCTGATTCAACATGGTAGATTTTCATAGCCGAGCAAGCTTTCCTGGTATAAATGAGAAAAATCTTGTTTGTGTCTTCCACTGGCAACCAGTATTTACCTGCAGCCATCATCTGACGAAGCTCCTGAGGACACTGGGCAATGCTCTCAAATCCAGCTGCATCTACCATTGAACTGCATGCACCCTGGGGCACTGGGGTGCTTTGACAGCTGAGTGGAGGATCCCCTTGGAGGTCATTGGAATCTGCAAAAGAGGAGAAGATTGCATTGAAGAAGGTCATAGAGGAGGGAGCGTACTTCCTGAAGACAGTTGTCTATTTAAACACAAAACAAACCACAAAGATCCACTTTGAGCAGCCGGGCATAGACCTGAAGGTGCTTCTGTGCTGGCCCTTAGTGTTGTGGCACAGTTTCTCTTTCTTCAGGAGATGTATGGGTCAGCTTGTCTCACCTGGCCCAGGGCTGCCTCAGGAAACAGCAGCGTCTGAGTGAGTTAGGGCTTAGTCTCCTGCCACAGCCTCTTTGCCTATGGGCCTTATCAGGCCCGGCACAGCCTCTTCCACACACTGCACACCAATAGCCAGGACAGACGAGGGTGAACACGATTTCTTTTCAAGTTAAAAAAAAATTAATTGATGTTGTTATTTTGGAAGACGGCCGTCTGTGAAATGTATTCAAAGAGGACAAAAAAGTGGGGAGAGAGAATAAAAAAAAAGCAGGAACCCTTTTTCTGTAAGGCTGTTCAATCATTAGAGAAGGCAAGCCGTAAAGAATGGCAGAGCCTGTCCGGGAAGAAATCTACAGGGCTGCAGTAGTGGAGGCGAGACGTTTGTTTTTCAGTTCTGTAGGATGAAGAATTTAACTGGTCCAAATTGGTTCGGTCCAAATTTTCCTAAGCATTACATGGCATACACATGTGCGTGCGCATGCTCACACACACACACACACACACACACGTATGCATATATATGCATGGTATGTTCATATGTCTCTCTATATTTATATAGTAATATGTATTTTATTATACTCAAATATAAAAGAGAATACAACATACAATAAAATTACAAAGGGTCTCTCTGTGACATTAATTATAAAATTCTATGCCTTTTCCCTGTCTGACAAATGCAAAGGCTAACCACATACAGATTCACAGACTAAGTGCCTGTCTGACAGTTGCAAACCCAATGAACAGCTCGATGACCGTTTGATGCATCTCTGAGATTACAGCTGAAGTTAAATGTTTGGTTTTGTTACATACAAATTTAGTCCCCTCACCCACCCAGTCACATTTCTGTTCATACTTTTAGAAGTAAATGTTGTAGTTTTTTTAGTAAAGTGTGAAGCTTAAATATTTCAAATTCTTTGCCTCTAAGGGTCGAGTATCAGTAACTTCACTCCTTAATAAACACTATGGTGCCAGACAGCTTCTTGCCAGTTCAATTCAAATGCAAGCTCGGGTCTCAGTACCTCACAGATGGGTATATAAGAAACACGTCATTTTTGTGGTTCAACTAACCTCTAGCCATCATTAAGGGGCCAAATGAGATGCTGGGGAATTTTTCTCCCAATTACCTAGCACCTAGCAGTGGATGATTCCAATGTGGGGCACAAACTGTATTCAGAACACATACGTCAAACCTTTCTTTTAAACACTGCTTGCCTAATGAATGTAGAATGTGCTTGTGCATTGTATACCAATTACCCTGGGCAACGAATACCACAGGACAGACCCTTTCCATATAAACTAAGTTCAGCAAATCCTTAGCAAGCCTGAGTGTGTGCCCTGCAGCTGCTCACTCACTGGCACTACAGTGAAGCCTCAGAGTGCTTTTCTCTCGGCTCCAAATATTTCAGGGCACCAAGGCAGAGCCAGATGAGTCTGTCTCATTCTTCTCCTCAATGGCACTGTAGTGGAGCAGCCTTGGATCATCACAAGGTCACTATTTGTCTTACTTCCCTCCCTAAATGAAGTGTAGTTGGCTTCTGTCCTCCGGCTCAGATGTCCACAAATGGACATCAATCATACATTTTCTCCCGTCTAATGAGTTTGCAGTTCTGAAACACTCTATCAGAGAGTATCTCCTTACCTTATCGGCTTTATGGCTAGAGCCTCTCTGGCTATGCTTAACCTTGACTTTTTCCTACAGTGTTACAGGGACAGCATTGGCTTACCTTGGCTCCACACTGTCTGTTCTGGTGGTAATGCACACTGTGGTGGTTATGGCTTTACAGAGGAGCACTGAAGGCCCTGGGAGGCCCATGGCCTCAATCTGTATCTTTCACAGACGCCTTAACAAACTGCTGCTATCTCAGAAAGAGTGTTTTGTTAGCAGGCTGTGGTTTGTAAACTTTCATTTATCCCTATCTCGAATTCTGTGACTTTCAGCTTATTATAACTCTCCAGTATCACAACGCAATGGTTTTAATTGCCTACAACTTCATGTAGCAATCAAGGTACGAAGACTGAATGGTGTCCTGACGTTAGTTCACACCTATCAGGTATTTCAAATTATCAGGACCGCCAGGATGCTGCTTTTACATTTTTAAACTGATTTAGTAACATGGGCTTGAACAAAAAGGAATACTGAAAATAGTCATTACTACCTGGTAACTTATAAATAGGAGCAGGAGTGACTTTTGTCCTTTTTAAACACCTATTGTTTTTGGTGACTCTGGCCTCTCCAAATTATTCAAGACCAGCATGCTTAATTCATCATTCAAACCAACTTCTCTGCCTTGGTTTTGTTTCTGGACTATAGGAAAGATTAATATTCTTAATGATGTTTATTTACGCACAGATATAGGGAGTTAAGATTTACAGCTAATAAAATACCCTGAATACAGTAGGTGATAATTATTGTTATTTTATTTTGAAGTGCAGTTTTCTATTAAGGTATCCAGGGATCTTTGTGTTCTGGTGTATAATTATGTAATTAATTATAAAACAGTGAATAACACTTGATATTTCTAAAAGGAAGTGTTGCCCTAGTTTTCGGTACCACACCTAAATTGTAGCAGACTATTCCATTCCCCACAATTCCCTGTGAAATAACATCATATAAAAGATGTATTTTTTCCTCTCCAGCTTTTTTTTCTTTCTATGCAAATACAAAAGCTTTTAAGAGCTTCCTGACAAATTATGAAATTGGTGGTTTCTGCTTACGGGTTTTACTGAGGGATTATTATTACAAAGCAATCAGATGTACAGAATGTCAAGGATAGCAGAAAAGCTATGCCCAGGCTTAATGGACCTCCAACCTGTTCTTTAGTGAAATGCATCAAAGGCCAAAATCTTACACCTAATTTCCCAAATCTTTAACAAGATATATTTTGCTGAGTACTTCACTGGGTTATATCAACCGAGCAAAAATGTTTTTATTCTCATCAAGCCTACAAAGGTACTCTAGTTTCAGAGAAGGATGGGTTGCTCCCACTTGGTAGACTTTTCTAACTCTGTATGTACCACAAACAAATATTTTAAAGAAGAAAATTCACCTATGCTTGTCCACAAAACAGGGGTCTCCTGTTAAATGGGGCAAAAATCAGTTAGGTCTTAGAAGTATTGGATTAAAAACATAGATTTGTTTGACCTACTTCCTTAGGCTCATACCTACTTTAATAGGAAAATCAATACAATGCAACAATCACTTTTATTAATGTCTTTAAAAGAAATGAGATCAAAGCAAACTTACATCACATGATTGCCAAAGCCTTATCTGTTAGAAGTTCTTTATTAGTTACAGTTTATGTATGTGGTAAAACCCTGCATTTTCATCCCCAGATCATTTTCCTATCACCAAGAATATATCTAATATTGGTATTCAGCAGGACACCGTCTTCAGGCTATAGAGACATTCCATATATTAGAACGATGGGATATTATACAACAAGACATATGCCACTTATATGTTAATGTCATGCTTTTAAAACAACTGTCTTTGATAATAAGGGGGAGCGTTTCATCTTCTAGTGGTGAATCAGGGAACTCCAGAGCAGCCTTTCCATTAAAGAACAACAGGAAAGCTGTGTGTTTTACATTTGTTTTGTAAAATTCTGTTTTCTTTTCACAAACACAGACCATAAAGACAAGCTCTACAGTGTTTCTCCCTTGGTTTCTAAGGAGAGCAAGTCACCTTTACAAGTGTTTTACTGCTCGGGAGATGAGAGGAATCTGAGAATCTGGGAACAGAATGAAACTGTTCTTCAAAACATGGCTTAAAGGGGCAGGGGGTATGAGGTGGAGGGGTGTAGAGATGGCTGAGCAGTTAAGAGCACTGGCTACTCTTCAAGAGGATCCAGGTTTGATTCTTCATACCCACATGGTGTCTCCCAACCATCTGTAATTGAGTTCCAGGGAATGTGATGCCCTTTTCTGACCTCCATGGGCACTGCCTGCCTGTGGTACACAGAGATACATAAACGAAGACACCTATACACACACAAGATATGCACACACACACACACACACACACACACACACACACACACACATCAAAAACAAAGGAAGGAAGGAAGCAAGGAAGGAAGAAAAGAAGGAAGGCAAAAACCACATTCATACATGTAAACATTCAAAAACAGGACAACAACAACCAAAACCATGATGAGAACACATAAAAGCTGACCTTTAGAGGAATAAGGAAAGGATCAGTTGCAGTCACAGGGGACAGATTTAGAGATAGGTCACTATATCAGGCCTCAGAATATCAGGTGGTTCACAGGAAGGTATACAATGTGAATCCCAATGACTCTGAAGAAAGATGACATTGGTATCCTAACGGGAGAAGACAGGATATGTGGACTCTCCCCCCTCTCCTCCCATGGCACTCTGCTTTAGAACCACTCTCTAATCAACTCTAACCTCAGGATGATGAAGAAGCTTTATCATGTTTGCCCACCCTGAAGGTAACAAATATCTGCAAACTCTATATTGCTTCTTAATTCTTTTGAGTATTGGGAACACTTTGAAATAGCTTAAAGGTGGTAATGAAGAGACGGATGATAATATAGATACCCTAAGATCCTAGATGAAAAAAAATTGTAAAGTTTTTAAGCCTGACAAATATACAGAATTCTGACTGCTTATTAATGTTCACTATCTGCTACTTAATGGTAAAGAATAAAACTAAGGTTTCAGTGGAGAGTTTGAGAAAAAACTAATAGGAAGACTTGTGAAGCAGTAATATACTTTAAAATTTAGTTTATTTATTTTATGTGCCTGAGTGTTTGCCTGTATATACATGTATATG